AGGGTGCTGCTACAATGGAGCTCCAGGTCCTGGGCTCACTAGAGTGGCAAAGGACCAAACTTGTTCTCTGCTGGGTCACCAGCCAGAGAAGAACGTGAAGACTTGCTTGCTTTAAATGAGGACAGAGAGGCTAGGAGAATGGACATCAGCCTACAGACACCCCAGGCAGGATACCTGGAGACTGGGCATGATCCTGGGTGTTTAAGACTTGTTCCTGGTGCTCCATCAAGGCACTGGCAGCATGAGGATGGGACCTGTGGGTCTGTAGTTAGTCCGGAGCTCTGCTGGGCATCTGCAGACAGTCTTCACCCTCTCTGGGCCTGGGCCCCATGTCCTACCACCTACAAGTTGAGCAGAGAGATAGGTGACACAGGAGTGTAGGGTGTTGCTGGCTGAGCTCCCAAGCCTGTTGGTGGGCCCAGCCTAGATGGGTTGCTTGGCTGTAGAAGGTAGCCCTGACAGAAGCCTCACGCTGCTAAGTGGGTTTACTGCTCCAGGGGCTGCAGTTAGGGCTCTGGTTGCTCTTCTGGAAGGGGCAGGTAATTGGGGTCCTCTTGAGGGTCGTCTAGTAGTAGTTTCCTGCGGGGAGGGGACAACTATACTGAGCTGCAGTAAACACAAGTTCCCTGGTGGGTGGGTAGATTGCCACCTGTGGGAGGGAAAGCAGTTGTCCGACACTCACAGGAAGCCTGGAGTCAGCAGCAGTCTCTTGCCTCCAGGCTGGTTGGGAAAGACATCTTCTAGGAAGTAGTAGATGTGGCCCACAACAATCCCTACAAGAGAGCCAAAGGCTGGCAAAAGCCATCTTTCACAGCCCAGTATAGCCCTGTTATCTGCTAGTTCAGGGTAAGATCAGAACTGGCTTTGAAAGGTATGAAGGGACCCCAAAATGGATGGTACCTGGGGAGGGACTAGGGGCCTAAGAACACTGGGGGAATAGGAGCTAGGAAGCAGAAACTGTAACCACCCCCAGACAGGACCAACTCTGGTGTCTGTGGGTCAACCACAGATGCAAATCCTGTGGGCCAGCTGGACTGTTTGAGGGGCATTAAGAACAGAACAGGAGTTAGGACAGGAAGAGGAAATTGGGAGGTGCACAAGAGAGAGGTCAGGTGCAGGGGGACGGGATGTGTGTATGGGAGCAGCTGACTTGAGGTGAGTGGGAAGGGTGGACAGGCTCACCTAGCAGGTCTGTGAGGACGGAGTTGCCCAGCAGCATGGAGAAGCCCATGAGGGCCCAGGGCAGGAATGGCGCCTGGAAGTTGAGTAAGCCGAAGAAGTTGACCCTCACCTGAGGGCTGCGCCGGCTCCATACATAGACCAGCATGGCCATGAGGGCCTGTCCCAGGAAAAAGAGGCTGCCCAGGAATCCCAGCAGCTGGGCCAGTGTCAAGGCAACCTGGGGCGGTCTGCTGCCCATAGTGCTTCTCTGGCTTTTTAAAGGGGTTTCCTCATATCCCTGGTCTATTCCATATCGAGCAGAACTTCCTGTCTGTGGCTCTGGGTACCCATCTCCATCAGGCTTCTGCAGGTTTCTTCTGGCTCTTCATGTTTCAGAGCCTCAGTATTCTACCAGTCTGTCCTAGTCCCTGTTGTGCTCTGCAGGGGCACTGAAGGTCTAGCTAGGGCATCTAGGCTACATGGTTGCTAGGTCCTGAATGTTTGTCCCTCCCGGCCTGAGCACTTCATGTCAGACCCTAGGGACACGGCAGGCTAGACAGAGGCCCAATAATACTGATACTACGGGAAGGATACAGTCATAAGAACACCACCAAAGAGAAACATGAAGACGAAGTCGGCCTTGCGACCGCGGAAGGAGCCCTCCTCCAGCATGCGGCAGTAGCGGAACCTGCAGCACTGGTATAGGAAGTGCCACGTTGACTGGGCCTCAGTTTCCCCGCTCCTAGTACAGCACACCGTCGTTGTCGTCCCCTCCCACCCCCCCCAAACCCGACCTCACTACCCCACCCCCGTGGCCCAGGATACACGAAGAGCATGTTGAAGAAGAAGCCGAATCCCAGGGGCCCGAAGAAGAGGAATGTTGTGATGAGCCTCCAGACCTGCGAAGAGGTGGGGTGGCGGTGAGGCGCGGGGCTGGAGGGCCAGGGCCTGGCTGACAGGTGCCAGGGTCGGGGGCCACCTCACCTGGAACTTCCGGAACACCAGGTGCGGGTTGAAGTAGAGCTGGAAGGGGCTGAGGAGTTCCAGCTGCTGTGGGACGGGGAGCGTGTAAGACGCCAGAAACCGGCGACCTCCCTAACCCCCTCGGGCCGGCCAGGGACTGTAACCATGGCGCCGCCACGCCCGCCCAGTCGGCCCGCTCACCACTGCGGCGGTGGTCAGGACGCAGGCCGTGGTGTAGGCGCGCGTCACCGCGGGCACCTGCAAGAAGCCCGCCGCCAGCCCCTGCCCGGCCATCGAAAATGCCAGGCGCGCGCGCCACCGACGCCGCGCTCTTAACCCGCCCCAAGCCCCGCCTCGCCCCACGCTAGCCAATCGGCGTCGGCAGGGCCGAGCCTCGGCCTGGGCAGCCAATGGGAAGAGGAAGCGGGAAGGCCAGGTGCAGCGAGGCTGCTAGCCAATGAGGAAGTCCCACGGTAGAGCACATGGCGGTTGTTGTGGCTACGGTAGAGGCGTGAGAGGTTTTGCGGCCAGTCAGAAATGGTCGCTTGACAGCATCTAAAGATGGACCAATAGCAAGGACCCACGAGATCGCCATGGGGGCGGGGCTATGAAAAGAGGCGCAAAGAGACCCGCTAGGGGCTGCGGGAGATGCTGGACCACCGCAGGCAGACCTCCGGCTGGCTGGTGACGCCCCCGTTAGCTTCTGAGAACCCAGGCCCATTTCACCCACAGGACCCTAACAAGTTGAGTCCAGCTAAGGTGTGCGGACTCCTGTCGTGATCTTCCTGAGTGTGTGCTGTAGGGAGGACATAGCCCAGGCTTCTGAGCCAGGCTGGAGTCAAAAAGCAGAAGGGAGAGCGACTTGAAATTTTGGTAGGAGAGAAAAACGTCATGAACCAACCATTTATTGAGGACCTACTGTGTGTTGGATATTTTGATAAACGCTGGGGATCCTGTAGGCAACAAAGACACTCTCCATCATGGTCCAGCCGGTTCAATACTATAGCAACCTAGTGCTGTCTAGAACAGCACCTTGGAAAATAATACCAGATGGACCTCCGTGGTAAATAAGGTGACTCGGGAAGCCTAGATGAGAAGGTGACATTTAATTGTCACTTCTAAAAGATCCCTGTGCTCAGTAGAAGGTTACATAAACAAAACATTGACAAGTGCTGTCAAGGTATGAAAAGATCTGCCTGTGGGTTTGTGGGGATTTATATTCCAATAGCCACTGTGGGAAACAGTGACGTTAGTGCAGATCTCTGTGGTCAAGACCAGTCTTGTTAACATAGAGAGTTCTAAGCAAGCCAGGCTTGCATAGTGAAACCCTATCTCTAAATAGATGAATATAAAGTTATCAAATGGTCCTAAAATCTCAGCACTGAGAAACTGGAGTCAGAATAGTGAGTTCTAGGTCATGATACCTGAGCTACACGACAAAATCCTACCTCAGAAAACCAAAATAATAATTATTTCATTTTATTTAAATAAAACTTAAAGCACAGAATTACTATATCCCCCTTAGCAAGTCCACCCAGAAGAACTTAAATGTGTGTGACACCATGCCTAGCAAAAATCACACGCCTTTAATCCCGCACTCAGGAGGCAGAGGCAGGTTCCAGGCCTGCCTCCTTGGTCTGCTTGAAGCAGACACCTCTGGCCAATTTGGTAAACTCTACCTGGAGAGTCACTGGTGAGGACAAGCTCTGTAAACCCCGGGTCCTAGGGACCTAGAGACACTAGTGAAACAGTGTTGGGCACTATTTGCCAGGGCTACCCTCAAAACTACTGGATTCAAACTCAATCCCTGTCTCCCCTGACTCCCAAGTAGCTAAAATGATAGAAGTGTCCCACATGGCCACTTATCCTGGAGGTCCTGTGAAGAGCCAGGGAGGTGATGACAATGTCCCCACTCCCAGAGGTCCCTCCTGTCCATCAGAGGGCCACCTTTTCTCAGGATTTGAGTGTACTGGACCTACCTGTAAGTGAGCCTCCATCACAGCTCTAAGTAACCCCACCCACACATGGCTAGATCCCTTGTTGGCCCGGCTAGGCCATGGAGTATTTTTAGTACCAAATTCTGAAACTGCACAGCAGCTGCACTCAAGGCCAGTGTGAAAAGGCAGCCTACAGTTCAAGTGGGCTGGGTTAGGCCTAGACCTCAGGCTGGGCTAGACCTTCATGGCAGCCCTCTGGGCCTGGTTGCTGGATCCAGACTTTCCAGGAACGTATGGGCTCTGGGTAGGATAGGTAGGCGAAGGAATAGCCTATGCAAACACCCTGTGCTGGCTAGTTCTGTGTCAACTTGACACCAGCTAGAGACAAAGCTGGGAAAACAGAATCTTAATTGAGAAAATACCTCCATAAGGACCACTGGGTGGGTGGTCTGATGTAGTCTAGGGTTGTTTGTTTGTTTGTTTGACACAAGGCTTCTCTGTAGCTTTGCAGCCTGTCCTGGAACTAGTTCTTGTAGACCAGGCTGGCCTCAAACTTACTGAGATTCGCCTGCCTCTGCCTCCCGAGTGCTGGGATTAAAGGGGTGCGCCACCACTGCCTGTCTTAGTCTAGGGATCTTAATTGGGTTTGTTTTCTCTTGCAGCTAAAGAATTAAAAGGCAGGAAATCTCAAACACTGCAGATAGAATCAACAGTTTACAACGGTGTTTATTAGAGGGGAGGAAACACACGCACGCAGCAGACACACTGAGAAGTCAGAGACTGGGAGTGTGACCGGCTCCTCATTAGGCAGGCAGCTAGGGAGAGGGCCATGGCCAGGGAATAAATGTGGCCAGCTTCCAAGACAGCCGACTTCTTCCTCACCCTCCTGACCTGAGACAAAAGCCTGGCAGCTTAAAGCAAAGATTTTTTTTTTTTTTAGGTTTTTGTCTCCCACCATAAGACTCCTTGCTTGGTGGACTGAACCGACAAAGTCAAGATTGGATCAGGACATGTCACACAAAAGTTTGTGTGGTCAATCAACCACCCTCATGGAAAAGACATGGAAATCGCAGTAGGTATCCTCCAGACCCTGATCTATGCCTGTAACGGGTATAAGTATCTCTCTTTAGGATATGCTCTCTCCTACCAGTGTGGCTGGAAGCCAGCAAGCATTAATTGAAGGCACTACTGATGGAGGCAGAGGCCACAAAAGACCAAAGGTGTCAGGTTGACCTGGTGGCTGTTTAGCCTATATAGTGAGGAGCCTTATGTAGGGATGCATGCTGCTGTAGGAATGACCCCAAGGAAGGGAGAAGGAGGACTCTGCCCAGAGGACCCTAAAAGAGTCCCAGGTCTCGATACCAGACATAAGAAAAATGAGGCAGAGAAGCAGGCGGATTGGTTCTCAACAGGCTGAGACTGCTTTATTGGAACATTGAGAAGCCTTAGTCCTTCTGCAGGATGAAGGCTGAGCACACTTAGAGGCGCTGTGGGACAGGTGTGTATACATACATGGGCAGCTTCCAGACAGTACAGCTAATTTTTAGTTTGACTGGAAGCAGGGTGGGTTGTTTTCTATACCCAGGCATTATTGTTTCCATGGGTGGAGCAGATCCATCGGCCAGTGCTAAACTATTCTTTATGGCTAGTGGCTATTGCCTGGTACTGCCTGACTCAGTCCCTCATAACCTGAGGCTATTACCCCACAAAAATGACCTATCATACAATATTGTTAGGTCAGACGCAGAGATGGGCGAAAGATAGCCCAAGATAACTTGGCTGCAGGTCGGCAATACCCCAGATCGCCACAATCATAGCCGTGCTAATCAGTCAGCCTTGTAGACTCTTAGACGTGGGTGCAGCTTCAGAACAGGAGTTGATAGAAAGGGGCTGAGGAAAAGGATGAGACATGCCCAAGCATAGGCACAGGCTCCGCAAGAAAGCTGTGCTTCGGTGTCTTAGCTGTAGTCAGATAGAGATTTCAGCGGCTCTCAGGCTGCGTTCCCAATGGTTGCTAGGAGACTCCTTCCTCTCTTGCCTCCTTTTCCCAGTTGGGATTATAGGATAGCCCTCCAGGTTTCTTGGATAGGATTGCAATCAAATAAGATAGACCTATATGGGTCACCATGGAGGCCCAAGGTCGGGAGGTCAAGGTTATCCTCAGCTCTCTGTGTGTGTGTGTGTGTGTGTGTGTGTGTGTGAGAGAGAGAGAGAGAGAGAGAGAGAGAGAGAGAGAGAGAGAGACAAAAAGAGAGAGAGATTGTGTGCCCAGTCAGTGTTATTTGAAACTAAAACAAGACAAAAACACCACGAGTCACAAAGGTTACTCAAGGGGGTTAAGACATGCCTTTTCTGTGGATGGGGTTTCCAATGAGATGCTTAAAAATTGTGCATTCACAGGAAGGGAGGTGAGGAAGGCCTATACACCAGTGAATCACGAAGTTGCTGCAATTTAACATCCTTATTTGAAACATAAAATCTCTATATAAAAGTTATATTATTGGGGCTGGAGACATGGTTCAGTGGTTAAGAGCATTTGACTGCTATTCCAAAGGTCCTGAGTTCAATTCTCAGCACCCACATGGTGGCTCACAACCACCTGTAAGGGGATCAGACTCCTTCTTCTGGTGTGCATGAAGACAGATACATAAAATACATGAATACATTTTTTTTTCAGACAGGGTTTCTCTGTCCTGGAACTTGCTCTGTAGACCAGGCTGGCCTCGAACTCGAACCTGCCTCCTGAGTGTTGGGATTAAAGGCATACAACACCACCGCCCAGTGAATAAATTTTTTTTCTAAAAATATTGTCTCTTATGTCCGTGACCACTCTCGTGATCCTCCTGCCTCTGCCTCCTTCAGCAAATCCTACCGGCGTGCGCCACCACTACCGGCTCATGACCACTCTCATAGTAAACATTATTTATTCAATAATTCTGACAAGCTGTGAAAAGTTTTTTGTCAGATTCCAGCCCGAGGGGCTCACCCTTTTTTTCAATGTCCCTTTAATTTTCTCTATCTTTCTATCCTGCTTTAATCCCACACATTTGACAGATGGGGTGTCCCCCAGCCTCAGAGGATTGGCCATTTCCCTTCTCTCCTCTTTTTGGGGAGTCTGCTAAGAGACTGTAGGCTTTAAGACCTCAGACACTGGTGTAACTGCCATCCCACGACCCTGTACCCTACCTCACCTCCAAATGTAAACTTGGCCGCAGTTTTAGAACAGCCCACAGTGGACATTGAAAGGAACGGTATCGGCTCAGGACCCCCAAGACCAAGTTCTCAGCACACAGAAGATTTATTTGCCCCAGAGGAACAGAGAGCAGGGAATAAGAGACAAAGAGAACAAGGGAGAAGGGGAAGGGAACAAGGAAAAGGGGGCAGGGGTATTTGTCCCAGAGGACAAGGGATTGCCTCCAGATATAGAGGAGACAGACATGGCACATAGGAAAACGGCAGTTTATGAAGGTACAAGGGGAAATCCCAGGCCAGGATGAGGTGCTTCATTTTAATTGGGCATGTTAATTAGGTAAGCCAAATTAAATTAGGGGCTTTGATGCTGGACTTCAATACTTTGTCAGCTGGACCTCAGAAGGAGGAAGTGGCCAAATAAGAGAATAGACCTTGGGGCTAGCTTGAGGAATGTAACTAAGGGTTGTTAGCAAGGTAGAGGGAATGGGGGAGAAGGGCAAGGCACTAGCCAGAGTCATGTGCTCTAGTGGGCTAGTGTCACTTCAGACAGTCTTCCTTCCTTCCTTCCTTCCTTCCTTCCTTCCTTCCTTCCTTCCTTCCTTCCTTCCTTCCTTCCTTCCTTCTTTCCTTTCTTCCTTCCTTCCTTCCTTCCTTCCTTCCTTCCTTCCTTCCTTCTTTCCTTTCTTTCTTCCTTCCTNCTTCCTTCCTTCCTTCCTTCTTTCCTTTCTTCCTTCCTTCCTTCCTTCCTTCCTTCCTTCCTTCCTTCCTTCTTTCCTTTCTTTCTTCCTTCCTTCCTTCCTTCCTTCCTTCCTTTCTTTCTTTCTTTCTTTGTTTTGTTTTTTGATTCTCTTTTGTTTTGAGAGGCTCTCTCTGCTTTACTCCTGACTATCTGGAACTCACTATGTAGTTTCAGGCTGGTCTGGAACTCGCAGAGATCCACCTGCTTCTACTTCCCAAGTGTTAGGATTAAAGACATGCACCACCACAGCCCAGCCACATTTCTCCTTCTCATTCTGGCTTCAAATCTCCCCCTCTGCAATCAGCCCCATTGCTTAGTCCTCGAATATCAAAGAACAGCCAAGAGGTGACCCTCAGTTGTAGGGTTGAGTTTATTTTCATTCTTTGTCTTCAGCCATTACGTGGAAAATAAGATTCAGAACTTGAGTGAACACGTGCCAGCTCCAGGGATGAGAGGAAGTTTGACTTTGGGTTCGGAGCAGCCCCAGGTCTCGGCCACCCCTATCTCCAGCCTGGACTGAGCTGACGAGCAGCTGTCTAACACGCATTGGTCCCCAGCTTGAGAAGAGTGTAGCACCAGCAGAACGTGGTGTTCACAGAAGGCTTGGTACTGGCACACATAGAGACCTATAACGTCTGTGCCCGGGGCCAGTCAGTTCATAATGTCCCTCTTTTCCAGGTGAGCAAACTAAGGTCAGGATGGAGACAGCATGGAGCCCCATTGATATCACCGCAGTCAGCCCCGTGGCTGGCCTGCCGTGCTTAAAGGTAAAGGTGGTCCCCTGCATCGCCTTTAGGGGGGGGCAAACAGAGAAGGCTGAAGTGGGGACGGCCTCAGAACCCTGAACCCCAATCATATTGCACGAACTTTTCCAGGGATATGTGGATAAATGTCTCTTTCTCCCAGATAGGCACCAATGGCAGGCCCAAATAGGAGCTACCAGAGTTCCCATTACAGAGCATGGGGGAGGGGCTACTTCCTGGTGTATGGTGACCCCAAAGCAGCCAGACCACTGGGAAGTCTCACTTCAGTGTGAATGGCCACTTCTCCACAGCTGCAAGCTTTCTGGGGCCTGGATCTCCTGTTTGGTCTGGCCTGTGGCCACTGGCCTGTGTGGGGCTGGTTGCTAGCAATCCCTCTCTAAGGACACTAGTTTTGGAGTGTTCCCATGAGAGCAGTTGGATCGGAACATGTGTTCGTTAGCATTCAGAGGCTTTCATCCGCCGCTCACCCATCACCTAACTCCTCTCCTGCTCACTGCCACCTCTGCCTCTTTTTGTTTAGAAATGTTATGAACACACGGTTGTCTAGACACACTCAGCTGAGCTAGAGAGGCGATGTGGGCAGCCTACTTTAGCTGAAATTAAAAAGTGTCTAAGAACCCAGGCATGGGGGCACCTGCCTGGAATCCCAGCACACACACACATAGCGAATGCCCGTGCCATGGTGCAGATGCCAGAGGACAACTCTCTAGAATCAGTTCTGTCCTCCCAGTAGCAGTTCTGGGGACCGAACCCAGGTCATTAGGCTTGCATGACAGCCCACTGAGCAACCTTAACAGCCTATGTAATCAATTGATTGTTCTTACCAATGTGTGCTGTATGTTTGTGTCTGTATGTGTGTATGCACCTGCTATGGCCCGTGGGTTGAGGTCAGAGGATAAGTTTGTGGAGTTGGTTCTTTTCTTCCACTTTTGCCTGGGATCTGGGACTTGAATTTGGGTGGGTGTCAGGCTTGCTCACCAAGTGTCTTTACCCATTGAGTCGTCTCACTGCCCCATCCCCCTTTTGAAGCAGTTGTATTCTAGTCTCACGATATATCTTTGTCTATAGCTCACCATGTAGATGGGGCCACCCTGAGCCCCTGACAGTTTTCTTGCCTTCGCCTTCCAGATGCTGGGACTGCAGGCGTGGGCCACCGTGCGCAGCCTAGGGCATTTCTGTTTTAGATTAAGACGCCTGGGGCTGAGAGCAACAGAACTTCCTTCTAAGAAAAATCAAGAATTAAGGGACTCCAACCAACTGTATTACTATGTTGCTATCAATATTAGCAATGTCAAAATATGGCAAGTTCATAGATATAATGGCCAATTTATTATAACAGCATATTTTCTGTCACAGCATAGTTTATCCTAATGATCATCTATGCTTAGATATGTGGCTGAATGCCTCACAATATAGGACCTAACTACAGCAATCAATCATATCAACTCTGATGGACTCAAATTACAGATAATGGACATGTTACCATGGGGCTTGGAAGACTCTGAGAAGTCCTATAGCAAAATCAGACTTGGGCCTGCCTTGAAGGCAGCAATTCCTGCTAGGCAACCCAAACAGTTTGGGCTGACTTTTCCTTTTTCTTTTTTTTTTTTTAAAGACTTATTTATTTATTATGTATATAACATTTCTTTCATGTATGCTTACATGCCAGAAGAGGGCACCAGATCTCATTACAGATGGCTGTGAGTCACCATGTGGTTGCTGGGAATTGAACTCAGGACCTCTAGAAGAGCAGTCAGTGCTCTTAACCTCTGAGCCATCTCTCCAGCCCTGAGCTGACTTTTCTTATCCAAATTGTTCAAAACAAGTCAGTTTCCAATGACTAAGGCATTGGTAATCATTATCTTGTGTGTGTGTGTGTGTGTGTGTTTAATATACTTTGGAGAGTTAGTTGTTTTGTTTTGTCTTGTTTTCAAAACAGGGTTTCCTCAGTGTACCCCTGGTTGTTCTGGAACTCTCCCTGTAGACCAGGCTGGCCACAAATTCAGAGATCCACCTGCCTCTGTCTCCCAAGTGCTAGAACTAAAGTTGTGCACCACCACCGCCCAGCTGTTTGTTTTTTAAGTGGCCAAATTCCAGAGCCCAAAGAGGCCTCATTGGAATTCTAGGTGCTGGACTAGGAGTGTTTTTCAAGAATCTTATAATGTATAATGAGCAAGAACAAGTTACTTTACATATTAAGTTTTAAAATGTTTCTGAATGGCTAGAGAGATGGTTTGGTGATTAGGACCACTTGCTGTTCTCTCAGAGGACTCAGGGCCCCTGATTCTAGGACTCACAGAGTTCACAGGCATCTGCAGCTCCAGTTCCAGGAGATGCTCTGCCCTCTTCTTGACTCTGAAGGCATGCGTGTGGTGCACACCGACCCAGGCTAAACACTATTTGCAGGAAACAAAAATAATCTTAAATTTTTTTTTCTGAATTGGATTAGGAATTTTAAGACAAGATAAATTTAAAAAAAAAAAAAAAGAGGGGCTGGAGAGATGGCTCAGTGGTTAAGAGCATTGCCTGCTCTTCCAAAGGTCCTGAGTTCAATTCCCAGCAACCACATGGTGGCTCACAACCATCTGGAATGAGGTCTGGTGCCCTCTTCTGGCCTGCAGACATACACACAGACAGAATATTGTATACATAATAAATAAATAAATAATTAAAAAAAAAAAAAGAACAAAGACAGGGGCTGAAGAGATGGCTCAAAGGTTAGGAGCATTGACTGCTCTTCCAGGGGACTGTCTGTAACTGCAGTTCCAGGGGACCCAACACCCATGGCAAATACCTATGCATATAAAATGAAAGTAAAAAATTTATAGCTGGGTAGTGGTAGTGCACGCCTTTACGCCTTTAATCCCAGCACTTGAGAGTCAGAGGTAGGCAGATCTCTGTAAATTCGAGGCCAGCCTGGTCAACAGAGTTAGTTACAGGACAGCTAGGGCTGTTATACAGAGAAACCCTGTCTTGAAAAACTAAGAGAGAGAGAGAGAGAGAGAGAGAGAGAGAGAGAGAGAGAGAGAGAGAGAGAGAGAGAGAGAGAGAGAGAGAGAAGAAATAACGAAAGAAAAAAATTTAAAAGTAATTAATAAAAAAAAAACAACAAAGACATACCCTTTTTAAAAATTAATGTGGGCACCTGAGGTGACGCAGCAGGTAAACGTGCTTGCTGCCAAGCCTGCTGCCCTGAGTTTCATCCTATAACCCACCTGCTGGAGGGGGAAATCAGCTCCCAGAAGCTGTCCTATTGTCAATGACTTCCACACACATAATGTCACACACACACACACTCACACCCACAACCCCTCCCGCACACAGACACATAGACTTAAGTGTGGCTTCTCAGAATATGTAGTCTGTCGCCCTCTGGTGACAAGAGTGTCTGTGCCATGTGGGAAATCCTCAGAGTTAAGTCTGGACGGGATGGAGCCAGGGAGGTGCAGAGCTGACCTGAGGCGGCTCCTGGCTAAGCTCCTGTGACCGGCCTGGGTGGTTCCCAGTCTAGGACACCCGGAAGTGCAGAAGAGCAGGTGCGCTCCAACGGGGACCCGGGAGAGGGGATTGCCTTTAATACAGCTGCCCTTCTACTGTTCTTCTGTGTCCCCTCTGGCTTCAGTTCTTCTGTTTGATTTAGGAACAAAGAATAAAGGAGCAAAAGGCAGGAAAGAGACCAAAATCTGACCTCAGCAGATGAACCTGCCTGGATTAGCACGGCAGCAAGGGTCAGAGACTTGCCCCACCAGAAGGAAGTTGTGAGAAGGGGAGGGAGCCTGTCGGGGCTTTTACAGGAGTGGGCTCTGGGCTTTGGTGAAGTCCATACCGCTGTACGAGAGGGTACACGCAGGGCTTGAGAGATATGTGGTCGCTCTTTTGTTTACTTATAAACTGGTTTATTTCTCTTAATAGCTTGCTCAGGCAAAGCAGGCTATCTTGAGTACTGTCGGTCTCAATAAACAATTCTCCCTGAGATGTAAAAGTGTCCGATCAGATAGTTTCAGCAGAGGGAGTTCTGGTTTTCCACAGCTCGGACAGAGCGTGACCCCGCCCCCCGCGTGTAGGAGGTGCCAGGAGCAGCTGGTGTTCCACGGGCAGATCTCACTCTCAACCTTCTCCCTGGGTAAAAATACCCAGTCCAATCCCGGAAGCCGAGGGCTGGGAACGTGTCGGTGTGGGTGTGTAGGTGTTCTTTGGACACCCTGTTCCTAGCTGGATTTGGCCTCTGCTTTAAACAGAGCCTGTTGGGTTTCCGGGCTGGACTTGGCGTTTGGGTAAGACCAGTTCTGATTTTCTGACCAGCGGTAGGCGGTGCGGGCACGTGCTTAACCTCAAGGTTTTCTCTAACCCAAAGGCAGAGCCACCCACGTGTGGATCGTTGAGGATTAGAAACCAAAGAGCTGAAGTGAGCGCCAGGCTGCTAAAAAGACAGCCGTGACTCCAACATCCCCACCCGTGCACCACCCCTCCTTCACCACCCCCCCTCCCGTTAGTTGTCGGTTAATGTTTGAGGCCAAACCTGGAACTCTACCTAGAGAGAGGCTGAAGAAAGAGGACTTGCACACATTAGACCCCCTAACGCTGTGGGCTGGGTTCCCAGTGCCCAAAAAACATCTGAGGGAGAACCCTGTAGCAGTGATTGGCTGAAGGGACTATGACACCTGTTTCTGCCTGCCCCTCCACTTCGTGTGTGTGTGTGTGTGTGTGTTCTTACAACAATGTGAGTGTTCTCAACAGCAGATGTCATAGCTGTTTCCCTCCTCCTCCCACAACCTCCTTTTCCCCAACCACCTCTTCCCCATTTTTCTTTGACTGTTTTTGTGAATCAAGGTCTCTATAATCTAGGCTGACCTTGAACTCTTGCCTCCACCTCTCCACTGCTCGGGTTTATGAAGCATGCCACAGTGCCTGGTTTCCGACTTTAATTTCCCTGAAAATGACATTTATTCTCGCATATGTGAACATGATCATTCCACCCACTCTCCCTCTAGTGCAGCAGGGGTTATTCTAGCATGCACCAAGATTTCTTTCTTCCTTTTGCTGGATGATTAACATCCAAGTTGTTCCCAGCTTTCCTACACTGCAAACAGCGCTCATTTCTGGAGATTTTTTGAATGTAGGAACAACCATTTCTCCCAGGCAAACCAAACACTGTTGGGCTGGCTGGTCTAGAGCTATTTGCAACACCCAGACTTCTCTCTTGTGTTGCTGTACCAACTGATGTTTTCATGGTCAGTGGAGCAGCAGTAATTTCAGCCAGTCCCCACTGTTGACAGAGAACCACAGCCTTCACCTCAGAAGGAGTTGGGGATAGTTTATTCTGCAGCCAAATATGAGTAATGTGGTCCGGGAACACAGATTTAGGTGTGCACAAATACCATGTTCCACTATGAATGTGCTTACAGGAGGCTTTATTAGTTGCAGAACAAAGAAAATAATAGAGCAAAGTACTTACTGTGGTGGGCTGCAGGCTGAGGGGTTCTAGCAAAGTGGGGAAATCCTGCTGTAGTCTTCCTGATAGTATCTGGGGGGCTACTGGCCGGGGGTTATAGCAAAGTGGGGGAATCCTGCTGTAGTCTCCTGATAGTAGCTTGTTGAAATAAGAGCTGCGGCAGGGCTGCGTCCCCAACACCCTGGCCGCTTGGCTAGCTCATGCCCGAAATAACAACACACAAACTGTATTCATTTAAGAACTGCTTGGCCCATGAACTCTAACCCTTACAGACTAATTCTCGCACCTGGACTAGCCCATTTCTAATGATGTGTGTAAGCACCCCAAGGTGTGCTTACCGGGAAGATTCTAGCCTCCGTCCATCATGGTGTCTCTGCTCCAGAGAGCAGAGCTGTTGAGTCTCCGGGAGCAGAGCAGAGTCTGACCTCAC